ATATTTAAATGAGGATAATATTTCCTTCTTGCCTGAATCCACCCATTTAAATTACCGCGTAATTTTCTTTCGTGTAAAATACTGCCATTATTTGAACCGGTACGCTAATTACATGAATAATAGTCGTTAGGGTATCTTTGATGTAACTTCGACACGAAAGAGCGATCCTATTTACGCCTAAGGGGCAAGCTCACCGGAACCATTGTTTCGTGATCACGCCACGTGCGAGAAAAAGCATTGGAACGCGTATACGCGTGTCTCCGCGACATGTTCTGCCGCAGGAAATTCCAGGAAGTTTCGAGTCGACACGTAAAAAGGATATCGCGTGATATCGGCAAATGCAATGTTGCGTTCTGCGACGGTCCTCTCGTGCGGATAACCGATCGCCGGCGATCCGCATCGCCGCTTTATCAAGTTTCCAATTTCACCTGTTCGTTATACGTAACGAGCGATTACTTCTCCCAGTTAACTCCGCAACAACATCCCTCATCGATATATCTCAGGTAAATTTGCTCTTAATTTGTCGATGGCTTTCGCGAAGTGAAGCTTGATAATCCCTGTTTCGTTAATGAACGATATTAACTTGCAACATTACTAACTAACGACGTATAATCGGTTGTACATTTACTTCAGCTGATAAAATATTTTACAGAGAGCCATTAAAAATATTACAAATTTGTCTTTTTTCCTAACTCATTCGTGTTCGTTATCATAATGCAATTTATATACAACACGATTTCTATTTTTTTACATCATTTCAGCGCAATTCTTGAAACAAGTTCTACAACGTAATTAAAATTACATCGGTTCTGTGATATATTTTTAATAACCTTAACCCTTTTTGATAGATTCTTATACTGCTTTTTGTTAAACCAATTCATAGCGATGCTGAAAATGATGCCTTTCTTGGAACGAGAATAATTTCGCTCGTGTACGATTAATCTTAACCATAGCTTTGTATTCGGGAACGCATTTCAGGTCTCGCGTGACTCAGGCCAGGATTGAGCAAGAAAAAAGATGCATCGATCAATCAAGCTTTAATACCTCGTGATCGAGTGCTACCGGCTCCGATGGGATCTCAGAATGAGAGAAGATGAGACGCACAAGAACGTGGGATATCGATCGCAGGAGGATGAACCGCGTAGTTAACCTTCGTCGCTACACGATGGTCATTAGGGTAGCTCTCTCACCGCGCGTCTTCGTTCTTTTTGCGGCATTCCCCCCGTGGGTTTGCTTGTACCCCGACGAGAGAGAAAGGGAAAATTGAGAGCGCCTGCTCTCGGATACTATCAGACAACTTCGACCTTGAAAACGTCTCGAGGATGCGAAGACGATTAACTCGTCTGCCGACAAACTGTTGCTTCCAATTTTAGCCAAGCTAATTTTCACGGAATATCAACAAGCTATATTATCTCGAGAGCATCGTAACTTGTTGCATAATCGAAAAAATTAGCAATTATACAACAGAAGTGTTACTTAATCCTATTATACACGCTCCTTTTTGCCTATATAAAGTATTTATACTGGTGTTCCGGGAATTTCATCCATATTTATTATTGTAACTCCAGCAAAAATAGACATATTTTAATTAATTTTTTTTTAGTCAATACAAAATTGATAAAGGAACAGCCTCATAATTATAAAAATTTTTTTTTAATAATTTATAAAAGTTATAAAAAATATAATTTATAAAAATTGATAGAATTAAAGAACTTCGAGATACATAATGGGTTAAAAAAAAGTCCAGAAACGCTAAAATGCCAAACTGAGAAAATTATGCTGTGGTCTCAGGGATCTTAGTGTGTATCTACGGTTAATACGGATAGAATCAAAAAAATATTTTATAAACTTGTCTTACTTAGGTATATCATCAATTTTAATAATTCACTAATCTATTTGTTGATGGCTGTAACTAATTATAATTTACGTTTTCACTCTCTATCAGTAGGTTGACTTTAATTTTGTTACTCGATCCTTGCTATTTTTCCTCTCCATTAATGTGGATTTCGGCAAATAAAAATTCATTTTTTTTTTTTTAGAAACATGATTGAATATTTTACACAAAAAATAAATTTGAAGATAATAAGACACGAGATCTGTCTGTGAGCAAATAATCAGATGACAGTAATCAAAAAGCGCAAAACGTTGCAGAGACTGTAAATTTCTCTTTTTCTTTTCATCATCCGAAATAAAATACTGTGATCCGAAAAAGCGTTATAATGTAGCCGACGTTCAACGTCATAAAAATACTCGGAAACGATATTTAGAGGGACTTGGCACGGACTTGATGTAATATATTGTCAAGTCGACGCACGTCCTCTGCTGTCTGACCCCTCCCTCCCGAACATGAGTAGCAGCAGTGGCAGACGATGTAGGAGGTCATCATCGTCTAGTAGCTTGCCAACCTAAACCCTCCGTCGCCCTTTTCCGCCTGGGCTCTTACGAGAAGAGCTTTAATATCTCAGTCATGTTCTTGGTTCACGGACTATTAATTATCCCTACCTAGATGCTCGCTGAACTCATCCCGTGGGTCAGGTCACTGGATTTGTTACGAGGATTAGTTTCAATGACACGTAAAAGGCACGTGAAAGAAAGAGAGAGACGATTTTTATTTATATCGATTAGGATTAGTTATGAACAATTCAAAGAACGTGTAATATAACGAGGTACAATGAGAAATTGGGTTGAAATGAATGGAATTAATTTTACTCTTTATAAAAGTGAAAACAATATCTTCGAGTTTCATACTGATTACGTCAAAATTAACGACCGTAGTTCTAAGGCCGGATATTTTGAGCTGATCTTTTCTTAAATGCCAAGATATCAATAGCTTCCAATTTATGCGACTTGCATTGTCGCGCAATAAAACAGTTTTGAACTTAAATAATTCGTAATCTAAAGTTCACCGGGGTTAGTTTCAAACATTCCAACTTTTACTTAGCCGTATTTACAGAACTTACACACCGTCTCTTTCGATCGATGCGCCGTTAAAGCGATACATAGCGACCATTGACAGACGTGGAGTCATGGCCGAGTCCACATCTATCTTGAACTATGTTTCCATTGTTATTGATAAAGAAAGTACATACAAGTTTTATACTTTCAAGAATAACTTTCTACCCGACGAACTTTGACTATGAATAATTGAAAGACGGAACTTTGCGAGAAGGATTTGCCAATTATGATAATCATACAAAGGGTACTCGTAATATTCTGGAAGAGAACAAACTTTCCAAGAACTTGTATACAAATCTGCGATTCGCAATGCTACACGCATATTTAACGTTGTAAAAATTATGTTAATGTGATCCTCTTAGTGTTATCACTTTCACCTGTTTACTCTTAAAAATAAGCAGCCGGTCTGTTATGTAGAAATCAAGGGGAAGCATATATAATAATAGAAATGAACGATACCGAAAGTTTTGGCGGGCGGCCTTCGGTGAGGTCAAGCGAGGCACGGTTGGCAGGGTCATCGACACGTGCCGATCAGTGGCACGTCGGTGTTGGTAAATGTTCTACCGGTTTATATTTATACAAGCCGAAGAGCGACGGTTTCGGGTCACCGCCTCGTTGTCGGCATTGCCGCGCGAATGATGACTCGATTACTCAGGCCGAGCCTCGTCTCTATCGCGATAATCCGGCGGAAGTCGGAGGAACGGCTCGCAGCTGGCGCCCGGAAACGCACGTAGATACACGTCATGCGCGCGCGCAACGCCTGGCTGTGGATACGCACGCTCGAGCTTGTCCCGTCCACCTCTTTTCTTTTTCCCTTTTTTTCCTTCTTTTTTTTTCAGGCGCATCCGCCTGTCTGCCCTCCCCGCATACGGCGAGAAACGAGAATGGCGAGTATATACGCTTGACGTAGTCACGCGAGAGCAGACAGACAAAGAAAGTCCGACGGCTAGAACCAGCGAGAAAGCGTCGAATGCAGCTGCCACAACGGTCGGGCATTCACTTCCCCGATGCCGGACGATAGTCTCGTTTCCTTCGAAGGATCTACTAGCCGGCTGAACGTTTTGTCGCGGGGACACGCGAACAAGTAAATTACGTACGGGCAAAAAACGTTTGTTTCTTGCAAATATTCGAGGAACTCGGAACAAAAAAAGGTAAACCGCTTCTCGAAGCGTGGCAATTCGTGTTAATCGTGATATTGGATCGAAATGTTATATTGGCACGTTTCAGATCATTTCTGTGTCGAGGTTATTGACGAGGCAACTGATCGAGCAAAAGAAAGATACGATAAACGTCACGGATTACGGTGGATAATTCATGTCGACAGGGAAAGCGAATCTAGGGTTTAGATTATTGGCATAACGTAGTCATGACATCGTCACGCTGCTGTTCAATGCATTATAATGCCCGTACTCAAAATCGCTCGTGCATGTGGCAGCGCTATTAATGGCGCGCGTAGTCGAGCGGAAAAGTAGCCGTGGTAAATAAACTTTTTATCGTCGTTACATATCGCGTTGCAACCGTCAATTCACTGAGGTGATTACAGAAGACGTAATGCAACGTCAAATCTATTAAAGCGCCGTTTATCGAGACGCGGATCTACTTTCAATCTATAGAAATTTGCGGATATGTATCGATGCCTGTTCTCAAGCATTTTTATAAATTTTTTTATAAATATACCTTTATATTTTTATTTCGAAGTAAAAACAGATTAAAATCAATTGAGAGAATATATTTCTATAAAATTGAATGTATCTATCATCTAATCGAAACTATTTATTGATATTAAAACTTATCGATTCCTTTTTTTATACATTTCTCTTCTAACTACTAATGTCCAGTTTTCCTTAATGATGTAATTAAATCTTTTTTTTATTCCTTATAATTTAAAGGAACACAATTTTATAGAAAAAGATCTGTGCCAATTCTTTGTAATTTCTTTTAATTTATACTTAATAAAAAGTATTGATTACGACAAGTTGCAACGTAGAAAGAAAGATTCGCAGAAACGTAGAATTGAAAATTGAAAGATAATAGAGACAACTCACCGCAGCATTCTTTCGTGGCGCTCTCTTTCAAGCAGCTCCTCCGGACTGGATGGTTGTGGGCCTAAGAGGGTGTGGGAGAGTGGCGGGTAGGCGGTCCTGGACTGCCTCCAGAGCATCTCGGCAGCATGGTGACTCGGAGGAGCTGGACTGTGGTAGCCGACCGGCGGCGCCGTGGCTGCGGCACTAGCGCCGGCGTTGGGCGCGCCCTGGGACGGATGCGCCATCAATAGGGACGTGTGTTGCACGCTCTGCACGTGCCAGATCCTGGCCGGGGCAGCGGCGGCAGCGGCGGGGACTAGCGGTGTCGAGGAGGATGTTGTCTCCTCGACGCTAAGCGCCGAGCTCCTGCTGCCGCTCCTCTCGTCGCCAGAACTGGCGCTCTTCAGCGAGCTTACCCCGCTGTCGGAGCCGCTGTCGCCGTAAGTAGCGACACCGGCGGCGCCGCTGCTGCCTCCCGACGACCGTATGCCACCGACCGCCGTAGGCACACCGACGAGTACGCCCGTTCCAGGTATACCGGCCCCGGCCTCCACTTCCATGAGGCCGGCCTCATCGCCACCCCTCGATGTGTGAGACTGCTGTTGCACCTCGAGGAGGCTCGACGGGGTCAGGCGAGCGGTGGAATGGTGATGATGTTGATGCGGGCTGCTCGCTAGCTGATAATGATGATGTTGCGACGGCGGCTGTTGTTGTTGCTGCTGCTGCTGCTGCTGCTGCTGCTGTTGCTGTTGCTGCTGGTGATGGTGATGGATCACCGGACTATTGGCGGAATAACGCTGCTGGTGGTGCTGTTGATGGTGATGATGGAACTGTTGTTGCTGATGAAGCGGCTGATGGTAAGATTGTATATGAGGATGATGATGGTGACCGGCGATCGGCGGTGGCGGCTTGTTCAGTCTCTCGGCAAGGATGATCGGGCTCTCGTTGTGCCGATTGCGCTCCTGCTCCCGCTGCTGTTCCAGGAGCAGGCTGCTCTGCCTGCCGGGGCCGCCGCCGCCGCTGCTACTAAACGGACTCAGCCTCTCCAGCACGGAGCCTGAGTCCTGACTGCTCGACTCCAGCAGCTCGACGACCGATTCGACGCTGGCCGCCCTAACGCCGCCGACGCTACCCACGCTATCCTCCGTGCCTAACTCGGTGGTAGTCAGCTCTGTGCGTCGTGATCGCTGCGAGCTCACCTCTTCCTCACTGGCGTTTTCGTCGCGATCGTCCTCTGCCGCCGCCGCCGCCGCCGCTACGTCCTCTCTGGCTTCTTCCGCAAAACCTTTTGTCTTTGATCGAGTCGACTTCAGCACAGACGGACTGCCCTCGCGGATGGCATTCGTCTTATCGCTGACCAGCGGCGAATCGACATGCAATCCATTCACGAGTAACTGCGGTGGCTGTTGCTGTTGCTGTCGTTGTTCCTTATTCTCGCCGACCTTATCTATGTCCCAATCGGTCACGCGAACGTCCTTTCTTGATTCTGATTTGTTATCCGGTTGTTGCTCCTCCTTGGAAGCCGGATCGCCTCCGGGATCGACTTTGTCCGGAGGTGGTGGCTCGGGTTCTCTATCCCTCTCCCTGGACTGACTCTCCTCGTCCTCTTCAAGTTTACCGACCTCTCGTTCGGCCCCGTCGTGTTTTTCCGCCCCCGCTTCCTCCTCAACGTCGTCCTCGTCGTCGTCTTCCTCCTCGTCCTCTCCCTCTGCTTCCACCACCGATCCTCTGGCCCGATCCGCTGCAGCTTCCTCGGTGTTTTTGCTCTTACTACTCTCCGATCTGAGCTTTCTGCCGACGGGGCTTGTTCTTAGCCGCTTAGTCAGTGGATCGCAGCGTTCCTGACTCTCTTCATCCTCTCCCTCGAGACGCTCTTCCTCCTCTTCCTCTTCCTCCTCCTCTTCTTCCGATCTGTTACCGAGGCGTTCGTCCTTGTCGGCTCTCGCTCCGGTACGATGATGATGCTCGACAGACTCTCCCTCTGCGTCTGTCTTGACTTCTTGGCCACCTCCTGGCCTCGGTCTTCTTCGTGCCGGTCTCTGATGCTGTGCCGGCGGCCCCTGGTCGGTGGTCGGACTCTTTACCGCGGCGCCACGTCTTCGTAGTTTCGAAGCACTTCCCGATGCACTGTTTGCTTCTTCTAACACCGGCCGCGCAACACGATTGCTTACCTTGCTAAACGGCGGACTTTTATTTTCGCGATCCTCTTGTTGCCGCGTGGATTCCGCCGAATCTTTTTCGTTTTTCTCGCGACTGGCACCTTCGCTCACGCGTCGGCGTCGATTGTTACGGGCATTGTTCTTCTCTGAAACAAGAAAGAGCGACGGTAAATATATGATGTATGAAATACATGCTGGAAAGTGAAATTGATACCGTAACTTGAAATCGAGTGCAGTTAATTTTAACGTTATAATACGTTTAAATTAACTGTATCTATTTTCTGTATCTATGTCATAGGACTATAATGTGCGGGAAAAGATAGCAAATCGTTAACTAGGTCTTAGAGTTAACAACTTTAGTATATGCTCCAATTTCCAATGATATTACGATATTATATAGTACTATACGCGGAATGTGTAACCATGTATTTTACTGTAAATTAGTACGTACTTTATAACACTGTATGTGATTTCATATAGCTGTACATAACTGACGAGAAATGTCTTTTAACTTAAAATTTTTAAAAGCTGATAACGTTAAAGTTTTCCCCACAATGCAACAAACTCCTATAAAAACTGACATCAATTCAGAACTTCTTCATTCATAATTCTCTTTTTGTTTATCTGCATTCCAGAATCTTTGGATGACATCCCGGTAAGTACACGTCTAATAATATCACGCGACGGAAACTGATTACATGTAAAGAACATCACAAGCTAGCAACCGAGTCGCACAGCCGTTAATTATTAAAATTATCGACGGTACGACGGTAGATTATCGCGCGCTCGATATGCTTGTATACGAAGGTTATCTCGATACCCTTGATCGGACTGCATAATTGTGGCGGGCAACCGATCGATCCCTACAGCTGTCCGGTACATCGACTGTTCATCGTCCGGAGAGATTATGGAGCTGATTTACCGAGGTAATCCCTTTGATGTGCACAGTCAGTGATTCGCATAACTCGGTAACCCTAGGACGCTATATAAAGCAATCTCCCTACCAACTCCCTTCTTCCACCCTCACTTGATATATTCGCATAGTTCAATATATTAATTCTCATATATTCTCCCAGAAGGGAATATTATTTATCTTTCAAATTTCACGGAATTGCAAGTTACAAAGAAACTTTTGACACTGAATGATAGGCAAGTCAGTTTTTGACGTATTATTACTATCATTCAAATGGAAAAATGAACTAACGTGTGAAATTGAAAAAAAGGGACAATGCTACGAACAACTTAAATATTCTTCAAAATTGACATACGATACAAAAAAATTCTTATTCATAATAATTAATGATACTTCACGGATTATTTTCCAAGTCAAGTAAGCACTACTTTGAATTCTGATACTAAAGTATAAATCACGATAACAACTGTAATACCATTATCCTCTGCTCAATTGGCCGCCATCCAAACGCTGATAGCATCGGTAATAATGGCTATAATAACTGGGTATTAGCTAAAGGATTGTTATTGGCTCAACATTAAATCTTCTTAATTTATTAGACTAAATCGCTGCTTGTGCAAACGTATGTCGTTCCTACAGTGTTCCTCGATACGATACTCGACAATATGGCAGTACGTTATCAATCGCAGTTATGAATCTTGTCTACTGACCTCGATTGAGAGCGTACTTTGTACATGGATCAACAACGACGAATCGTTTCAACCGAGGAATTGTGCAGTAGTAGGTACGTTGCACGTTCAACTGGGTTTCCGGTTTCCGTCGCGTTAGTGCGAGTTCAAGGGAGTTCAAGGGAGTTCAAGGGGGTCTTCGATTAACCCGGTAGGTACATGGCCGTAGCATGGGAGCAATTTACAACAATGCACGTCATACACGTATATCCCATCCCGAAGAGAAGCGAGCGGATAGAAATTGCATGCCCTTCTCTTCGCGCGTGTGCGTACGTGCACGTTTGCGTGAAGGAGAAACTGGACAGAGAGAAGGGAAAACGAACAGAGAGGGATGAACACAGATGAAGGGGAGGAGGCCACGCATAAGCATCCATACGCACAGGCATGTACACCCACTGCGCGAGCCTGAGCAGATAGAAGGACAAAGAGGGGTAGGGAAGGAAGACATGGCGCGGCGGAGGGATTTATTACTCGGGATTTACTGTTATTACCCGGAGGGGGAGGACCTCTCCACAACGGGCAATAGCGATGCCTCCGGCGTGGGGTGTGTTTATCCGATATGTGCAGTTCGTGCACGCACACACATACTTGTACGTGTGTACAATACGGAGATATATACGGATACGAGGCGCATCGTTGGGACGAGCCCGACATCCGTGCATCCCGTCTCCTAGCGATCTGCGGTTTGTCGTTCTACCGTTGCACGCATGCATTACGTTGCGCGCGTAATTGAACGGTGATCCTGTACTTTGTTTCGCACTGTCGTTACTCACACGCGTGACGTCGTTCATGCAGCCATCACTTTTGGACCGAGACGTGATTATCGGATGTCTATATCGATACATGACAAGAAAATGGCTTTTTATTGTTGCTAAGTATTACGTAGCTACCAATGAGACCAAAATACGGGTCTCATAATAAACTACAAAAGATAATAATAATAATAATTCATATGAATGACGTGAAAAAGAATGCATTGCACACAAAATTAAGAACAACTTTCTAAATACGTTTTCTCCATGATTAGATAACTGATATTTTTGTAAAAGCGTCTTTAGTTAGCAAGTTATTTATTAAAAATATTATTTTCTTGGAAAAACTTCCTTTTCTAAGGAAATCTTTTTGATGATTCTCACGGTGAATGGTGGAAAGTGGGATAACCTTGGTAATAAAATTTTAATGGAAAGTAAAAGGATCCCTTCAAAAAGTTTGTGAATATCTTAATGTTAATATTGAAAAAGGTCGAAGATTCCGTGGTTGGTACAAGATTTTTGACGAAGCGAAAAGTACTTAAAAAATATAGGTCGGAGGATTTTATTCAGTCCAGGGCATGAATTTTTATTTATACGGTACTTTCATCTCTCGGCCAAAAGTCCGCTTTTATCTTTTTTTCGTAATGCAAATATTTACGTAATGGATCCGCATTTCATGTTTATGTATGATAATGTTAGAGAGCGGCAAAAAATATCATGTTATCTTATAATTCTCAGAAGATGCGATAACCAGGTTATTAACATGCAATTATCACTTCGTAAAAACATTACGAGACTGTATGATATGAGATGAATGATATTGTTTGCGTGTTCGTATGACAAATTAGATATTTATATCTAACAAGAAAACACTTTAGTATTCGTATTAGTAAATGTGAAGTATAATATTAGTTATTGGATTGTTATCCCATAGCGCGTTGCATTATGTAAGACCTATACGTGCGGTTTATTTGCATGTAAATTCTTATCGTCGTGTGTACAGAGCATGACAAATTGCTTTTGTCCTCTGAAATAAGTATGATAAAATAAAACGAGTACGCTACCATACAAGTTCACTGATAGAAAACCAAAAGATTTATAACACTAACGTCATTAAGTGGTTCCACCAATGTAAGATTAACTTTAATCTGATGAGTTAAACTTTAAGAATTAGAAAAAGATAAAGAATTGAACAGAGATTAAAAATACAATGTGATGTAAAAGGCTAATAAGAGTCAAAAAACCGTAAAAATTCATTTAACATAAGTTTAATAAAATGAATATTAAAAAAACCGAAGAAAATAAGAATATTGAACACAGCAGAATATAATACAAAATAGAATAACATATTTCGGCCTTGTATTTAGACCCTCTTCAGATATACAGAAATACAGACGCGGAAGAATTAATATTCAAGATTAAGAAAACGACGGTTTCGTTAAGCTAGTTCTACATTAGTTGCAAGCTGATTGCAAGTTTGTTGCGACAGCCAATATAAAGCGTTTATTTCAAAGCTTCAGATTGGCTGTCGCAACAAACTTGCGATCGGCTTGCAACTAATGTTACATGTTTAGATGAGTGTCAAGTCAGAGACACGGAAAATTGCTCGTCAAGCGATTGGATGACCGATTGCGAAAAATTTCTCGTTATTCTAGTGAGAACAAAAAAAATCGTTATAAGTACATAAAATTAAAAGTTAAAACAAGCATAAAACGTCTCTCTGGTAAAAAAAAACTCACCTCGATTCCAACGATTGCAAAAATTCACGTTAATGTTGAAATAATAGTCAAAATAAAATGTTAAAAGAGATAAAAAATTAGTATCATAATTATAAGTGAATAACACAGTCAGATGTATAAAATAAAAAAACCGTCTAACACGCTCGACGGATTCGACTGTACTGTGAAAACTCTTGGTAATGCGCAGTCAAACATTGTTTATAATTGGAATATACGATTTATGAAGTCCTTCTGTGTCTGTCTGGAGGTTAAGACTGTTTCTTTATTTTTCAATATTAAGCATCTCTGAGACGAGGTGTTTATTGTAAACCGGTTCTTCATCCAAGATTTGAATGTTGTTCCAATCAAAATCATGACCCAATTGCAGTCGATGGTCTGTTATTATCGATTTAGAACTGGTGTTCCATCGTATATGATTTCGATGTTCTGAAATCCGTGTCTTCAATCTCCTTCTCGTTCGTCTCACTTAAGATGCATCACAGTCATTACATTTTATCTAATAAACAACATTAGACTTAGAGAAAGAGTCCAAAGGATCTTTATGCACTTTAATATATTTCTGTAATTTGTTTGAACTATAACTTAACTGAAACCTTGATATCGTTTCTATTAAGTTGTTTGAATTTTTCTGTTAGAATCGGCACAAAAGGTATGGTAAACCAAGATGGACCAATTGATCCCTCGTCATTATCTAAATTGTTAATTCGAGGCAACCTTTTACGGGTAATATCTCTTTGATTCTATTATTAATTGTATCAAAAATATACTTCAACGGATAATAATTTTCTATTAAAATGTTTATAATAAGAGTTTATAAACAGAGATTAAAGTTAATTTTACATTAGTAAAACCGAGCTAAGAAAGCTGTAAGACGAAATGATAAAAATAAAATAAAATAATTTTACATTCAATTAATTCCTTCCAAGATATTCTGACAGGTTATTTTATGATTCAATATGATAATCAATTTACATCTAAATACTCGTCATCATTAAGAAATCGCATCAATCCACA